AATTTTTTTTGGAAAATAGCCCCGGGCTGTTTTTCAGGGGTGGTGTTTTGGGATGCATTTGGTGGGGGGGGGGGGGGGCGACTTGGGTCATGTTTGTGCCCGGACGCTCGTGTTGGTAATTTATCTAGAATTGTGCGTGGTCGTTCGTGTATGGATGGCAGGCAAGGGAGACAAGAGAAATGCCTCCGTAATTGGTTGCGGCGCACCTCACCAAGCGCCACAAACTGAAACATCAAACATTAAAAAAATATATTATATTGCAAAACATCAAGACTTGCTCCCCCGCCGCCTGTTTGTTGTTCATCTCCCATGTAACAGTCGACTTGACAATCGAAGAAGGGAAGGTCCCAGCGTGTCACCACCATTCTCGCGATAAGAATGAAGTTCGGCGTCGCAGAAGGGACAACAGACACAATGGAAGCTTGCTCCTTTTTTGACCCCAACTGGTGCGCCCGACCATACTAAATATGGCGTGACATGAGTGGACGTCCAGAGAAGGAAGGGCAACATCATCGATTCTGCCGAAGCGCCCGGCACGTATTCTACCGGTTACCTATGTGTCGTGCAATCAGCCGTATACCTACACTAGTAGGTATCGAGATAACCAACGTGTGGTCCGAAAGCTAGAGGCAAAAGAAGAGTACGACGGCATTGAGCACGTGAAACAAACACACAGGTAACACACGAGAAATTTCATATTCAACAGAAGCAACAGGAACAAGAAGGAGTTGGGTTGTGCTTGTTCGGCCCAAAACAAGATCCTGAGCCCGGACCCGAAACATTTAACGTTTCTCATTTTCTCCTGGCGCATCGCGTTTACATCGCATCCATCCGTAGACGGACCGTCTTGTCTACAATTTTCCGAAGCTGCAGCCGCGTTGTGTGCGCGCGTGGGTGGCGGAAAGAAAAAGAAGAGAACGCTGCGTAAACCAACCGACTTGTTCATAATAGTCGATGGCTTTTGCGTGAAAACTGATCACTTTTTCGTTTAGAAAGCCGCGCTTCTTCCAATACCCCAATGCCAACAAGGCAGCCACACCAGTCACAAACAATTAAATGTCGACCATATACGAGCACGCACGTGTCGGTTCGAGGGGGTTCTCGGGTGTCACCTCATTGAATATTCCTCGCCTAGATACGTCTGTCTGAGATATGTGACGGACAACATGAGCCGTTTTGCGCCCTCCTCCCCCCTCCCCTACAATGTATGACGAAACCAAAAACAATCACCACAAGCAATCCCCCCTCCGAGGCGGATGGCGGATATACCATGAAAACACGCTGATCATCGCACCACAACAAGTAACACCAACGAACACAGCGAACAGCAGAAGAAGCGTTTTGCCTCGGCCGACGAAATCGTGCCCGAACACACAAGACTAGATGAATCTTTACCTTTCAACAACACATGAGAACGATCTTGGGCAAACAAATGTAAGCACCTACCAACGCGGTGAATCAGTCGTCGGTTTTCGCGAGACAGGGGGCCTTCGCTGAAAAAAACGTGCGTCATCTTCTGCGCATGGGGGAGGTCAATCAACACAAAACCAATCCGAAAAATGCCGGACGGACGGAGACATAAGACTACAAGCACCATGCTAATCTCGCTGTTTCGTCAGGTCTCATCTACCGCGCAAAACACACTTGATTCACGTTCATCTCCTGCACCATTCCCCCCGCGAAGCGGACTGGAACAACAAATCACTAAATAAACACCAACGGCGGGTGGCATCCTGCCACCGAATCCCTTCCCTATCGGACATTGGCTGCATCAGCCTAAACACCAACGGCGGGAGGCATCCTGCCACCGAATTCCTTCCCTATCGGACATTGGTTGCATCAGTGCCGCCCCCAAGACACACACCCCCAAGACTACGACACACAAACAAACCGGTATGCTGACTATGTCTCCAACAGACAAAACAAACGCAAAACACGACGCCCGGCCAAACACAAAAAAAAGAAGCAATACAACGGGGAAGCTAAAGCCGGGTGCGTCGTGTGAACCTCCGGTTCACCCCAAGCTCAAACCATGTGTAGAGGGGGGCGGGGGCGGGGCTGGGCAGTAGAAGCTGCCGTGAGGTCCTTGCACTTGTACACGGGTTTTAGAAGCTCTGACCGTGCCCTGCCCCCAAAACCACCTTTCTTACTTTGACATGCCACCTACCGCAGAGGTTAGGGAAATCAACGCCAGAAGCTAAAACAAAACAGCGAAGTCGAAAGATTGGACGTGAACAGAGAAAAGCGGGCAAATGTCATCGCCGGAGAGGGTCTTGTCTACATTCTAATGAATATCCAGCCTCCACCATACAAGTTGGGCTGGGAGAAATTTGCGAGAAATCTGATTCGAAGAAAAATGAAAAAATCCAGCCAATCACACCCCGTGTTGCGAACCCAGTTTATTACCGCTCGAGCCGCCTCCCCGACAATCCCCGGCTACCTGCCAATGGATGCGAGTTAGTTTCTCAACGCCTGGGCCGGCCGTTCTTACCCTTCAGCCGAACCTTGCCTGAAACCCCCAAAGCGAATCGGACCACCGAACGATCTACGAAACGGTATTATTTACTGTACACGAAAATAAGCACCAACCGGAACGTCCCTACTCAACACTTTATCGTCTATCACTGCTCGCCAACAACCCCCCTCACCCGCAAAAACACGAAATTGAGAAAGAGTAGCGCAACGAACGCCTGAAAAACGGTAGTCTTGACTTGGTCTAAACATGCAACCCACTTCGTCTACCTGTCTCCCATCTGTCTGTCTCCCATCTGTCTGTCTGTCTGTCTGTCTGTCTGTCTGTCTGTCTGTCTCTCTCTCTCTCTCTCTCTCTCTCTCTCTCTCTCTCTCTCCTCACATAACCCGATAGCGATTCTCACCATATATCACCATATATGTACTAACTTAACTGCACCACCGGGCACGAGAACAAAAAAAAAAAAAATCCGAGCCATGCGGGATCTCGATCTCCCCTTCTCATCACCGCGCCCTTCTTTTCTTGTCTACCTGCTCCTCGCACGCGCTTGCTCGCTGCAAGCGAGTTTTCCGTGCCTTGCAGCGCGCGGAGGGTCGGTGGGATTTGCACACAGCCTACAGCTACGTCATACACTTACAAAGCTTTCCTTTCCCTACAAGTACACCCCTCCCCAAGTTGCCTGTTTGCCTCAAGCCATTTATTTCAACGTGAGCTCCTCGCGCAAACGTGCCAAGTACAAGACTCATGCGTACGCTTGTTAATGCGCGATGGTGGCGGGGGCGGGGGTGGGGGCACGTTCATCCATCCCGTTTCCGCCCGACCTGATAGTAGAGGACATAGTCTCTTTCCACGCCCAAGAGCTGCCGAAATAAATACAACGGAGGTTTTGACAGTCGCACCGCCATCTGGATCCTACATATCTGTAGCTTGCGCGCATTACAGCAGGGCCATTGAATGAATACCACGTGAGTGGAACGATCGCACCATCCTCTCTCCCCAGACAAAACCACCTGTAGGGCAACAACCCAGGCCGTTGTCAAGACCAGACCAGCACCAAAACATTTCCTACCCCCATAAGCAGACACTCCTCTACGCTGAAAATCCTCGCTCTCCTTGCCCCCCCCCCCCCCCCAATATCCTTCTA